AAAAAAAAAAAGAAAAAAAAAAAGGAGCCAAAGCACTGATGAGTTGGTAACTTGGTGTACAGTGGAACCTTTGTGAGATTGTATTACAAAACGAGTTTGCGCTCTGCAGGATAAATACCTTGCACAAGGATCATTGGGAAAAAAAAAAGTAAAGAAAAGGAGAAGGATATACTTTGGGCATACTCACACTAGGACTTTTCACTTATATATGGACGTAATTGAGGTCAGATACATTGGTCCATTCATAAATGCGGTCAGATGCATTTTTACGACAGAGCGAGTGCGAGTACGCCCTTAAACCGTCACTGCGTAGGAGTGCCTCCCCTGTCGCTCAAAAGTGATGACTACGGCAGGCGCACATTTTCAGAATTGCATTTTGATGCGGACTTGAGCAAGTGTGGTGCCTTTTCTTGAATTTCCTGTTTTTTTTTTCAGAATTGCATTTTGACGCGGACTTGAGCAAGCCTGATCGGGCGCTTGTTCATGACTTGGCAATGAAGATGGGCATGACCTCGAAAAGCACTGGGTAAGTTGCGTGGAAATTCAAAATTCCAGCTTGATACCTTTCTCGGCCTTTTTGGCAAAAAAAATAGTAAAATAGATCAAGTGTAGTATCTGTTCTGATCAGTTTAATATCTTTTTTTTTTTGGTCCATCAGCCCACACTAACATATATCTGTTTGATGATAAATATATATATTCGACGATATCTATAGCTCTGTGACAATATATAGATATAGATATTTTTGGCTGTGACAGACCTTTCTTTGTTTTGTGGGTGTTTTGTGGGCTTGTGTTGGGGTGTGAACCGGCAGGCTGTAAAGTTTTCCATCTGGTGTGGGTGAGTGATAGTCTGCTTTGATTTTCGTCACGGGTACCTTGAGGGCAGTGGTTGGTGCCCACCTCAAGGTATCCGTTGTCAGGCAGTCGTTGATGCTTAACCACAGCCGGGGTTAAGGTGGATTATCTCTTAGTGGTATCAGTTAGGGGATTCTGCAGACTGTTGCGGGTTCAGTCTCCTGATGAGTCGGTGAAACTCCGACGAAACAGTTTGTCACGGCCCCTTGTTTGCTGTCCTCTTCTCCCTCTCTGCCGACGGTATATATCATCAAACAGAGCTGGCCGCCGTGGCCGGTAAACCGTCGGCAGAGAGGGAGAAGAGGGCAACAAATGAGGGGCTGTGACAAACTGTTTCGTCGGAGTTTCACCGACTCATCAGGAGGCTGAACCCTCAACAGTCTGCATAATCCCCTAACTGATTACACTGTAAGTATATTTATATATATATTTATATATAAATATTTAATATTATTTATACGTATATATAAATATATATATGTCCTAACCACAGCCAAGAATATCTGTTCCTCTTTGAATACAGGCGTGAAGAGTAGAACCAAACCGGGTCCTTGAATATAGAGTTCTGGGGTGGTTTACAATCTATGAAGTGGGTGTAGTTTTCGGTTTTTGACTTGATTGTTTTCTTCTTTTTTAAAGAAAGTACGGCGCTTAATAACTGTGCGTTTATCTGAGTGCATCAGGATTCAAACTCGTGTTCTGCTTACAAGCATTTACATGCGTATACCGTTCGGCGACATGGGCTGCTTACTTGCTTGTTTTCTTTAAGCGAGGTGACAATGAAAACAAGCGAGGTGACACTGGGTAACTTTTATTCAGCTTCACTGTTGCAGAGTTGAATTCTGGATAGTTTGCACCTACTCACCTCAGTAAAGTAATTCAAGTTATTCAACCCCTAAGAAATTCCAAGGTGAAGCTGTGTTATTGATCCATGATGCTATTGTGGTAGCATGTGTGTTTGCATGCTTGTGTGCATGTGTGTGTGGGGAGAGAGAGA